GTTTGGATAGATAAGTCACATATAACAGTTGTGAAGGGCAACATTTTATGTGTCAAATTTGTCTAAAATGCTCCCATTAAAACTGTAACAATTTGTTTCAATATTCTACAAGATCTGAGAAGTTCTTTTGAAGTTTCTCTTTATATTTCAGACTAGAAGTATACAGGATTGTTCTTTAAATGTTTTAATCGATTAAATTGTTGCAATATTTAACTATGTGGTGGAAAAGTTGGGCATCAGAATGAAAATATTAGTCAAAATTTGACATGAATCAATAATTGAGAATAGAAATATGTCATAGCAACACATGACTTACCTGAAATACTGTCTGCTATATGACATATTCTAAATGTGATGTGATGTGGTGGTGGAGGAATGCGATCAAACATCATTGCAGTTGCCAATTAAAAAAAAGAGATGACAGTAGAAGACATCAGGTTAGAAACCAGAAAACATTTGAGTTTGGCAAAAAGCTTTGGGCCAGTCATGCTTTCTGAACTCTGGGAAGGAGGTAAATTACTCCTGAAATCTTGCCAAGAAAACTGCAGGCCTTAGTTCAGGAACTTGCCAGGAGTCAGCACTGATGAAGGTGGTATGGAGATGAATTTCATTTTACAGAAGCTGCATAAGAAATGGTCATTTAAAAATTATGCATGTCAAATTAAATCTATTCATAGATTTTTTTTCTATTTATAGTAAATAGCATCAACAAATATGGACTAGTTGAAATCATGTATTAGCTACAGAAGCCAGATGGGTAATTTTAAGCTAGTAGTTCTGTCTAGTCAACCTAGGAAGAAAGCAATGGCAAACCATCTCTGAAAATATCATCAAGAAAATTACATGTTTTCTCCATGTAATTGCCAGACATACCCAAAACTGTTCTTTTAGTTTTAATTTGTTTCCTGGCAACTATGAACCTATTTCAAGACATTGAAAGCCTCATGCATACTAGTGGTCACTTGTTCAAGTCACTTGCAATATGATTTGACAGTGGAAAATATTGTCATCAATATTTTACCTGCAAACCTTTGATTGCCTTTGAGGTAGTCCAGTTCAAGACTAACTAATTTCACCAATTTCACTAGATCTTTATTAATATAGGCTATAGTAAATAATCTTTAAAACTAGCTTCAATGTTTGTTATTACAGCTACACACCCATCACACCATACACATGTAATGGCCAAAACCTTTTACGCTGCCTTCTTTCACACTGATGCAGCCATGGCTTCTCTCACAACATGGCCAAGGCCTCTATTCATATCCTTCCTAGGCCTCCGTTTACATTCCGCCAGAGATCTCTTTCATACTGGCATAGCCTCTGAGGGAAAAAAAATCACAAACATTAATTGTTAAGACAATCAGGAGATTGGTCTCTTTACACAATTGTAAAGGCCTAGGCATAGAAGCACAACATTAGGGTCCAATGAGAAGGCAAGAATTTTGCAAAAGGTAGCTATTATGGCAGAAAAAGCTTGCCTTCTAGGTCCAACTAGAATTTCTTAGCTGATGGGTCCCAGAATATACTATCCCATCAGGCCAGATTGGATGGATAAAAGTGACCAGGAAGACATGTTCATCCAAGTAATTCAGTTCCAAGACATAAACTATTTCAAAGGTGATAGCACATTGAATTGTACTTCGAAGCACACCTGCCACCATTGCAGTTTACAAAGTAGTGGTGTTACATGCACCAAGTAAGCAACACCATTTATCACCGAGGCTGCATTATTCTGCACCAGCTGCAGCAGGGATAGGATTCTACCAGTTTGCACTGGTTCAGTAGAACCGATTGTTACGATTCCTGGTAGTTTGGAGAACCGGTAAAATGGGCCCCTGGCTGTCCCCACCCCTCTCCTCCCGCTCCTCCATTCCCTGCCCAGTCAGTCTTTATTGCGCATACGTGACATTGCGCATATGCACGACAATCACTGACAGCATTCTCCCCACGCCCACCCACCAAGTCCTTATAGTGCATGTGTGCTACGTTGCTTCCCACGTTTTCCCACCCGCCATCACTTCTAGCAGCAGCACCAGCCAGCCAGCCAGCCAGCCATCGCTGCCTGCCTTCCACCACCTGATTTCCCTAGGTGAGTGAGGCTCTGCAAGCCCCGGTCACTTGCATGCCACTGCTGCTGCCACCCCAGTTGAGTCCCGATTCTTGGGCCAGCTAAGCCACCAACGGCATGCTGCCACTGCCCTCAGCACTCGCAGCCTAGCAAACTTCCCCACCCCACCCCACTTGCCTGGCTTGCTGGTGGCCAAGAAGAAGGCAAGCCAGGGCTGACACGTCACCACTTGGGTCCCCACCAGCCTGCATTTCGCCCCCTCCTGGATTCTCTGTAGCTGGTGAGTCTTGCCTGCTAGGGGTGGGAGGGAGACCAGAGAGCATGATGCTATGCCACCCATATTGCCCCTTGCCTGCCACCCCTTCCTTCTGCCACTTGCTGGCCTGCATTGAATAGTAGCTAAATGTGGGCCACCACTGTGAGAATGATGCGAGTCATCACGAGAGCGGGTCTTCCTTTCCTGCCATCAGCCTTATGTTCCAGCCCATGGAGCTCACACAGTGACGGCCCACACTCAGCTAAAACACTCAGCCTGGCAAGAGGGGTGGCTGGCAGAGGGGCAACGTGGGTGGCTTCGCCATGTGCTTCCTGGTTGCCTCCTGCACATACCCAGCAGCCTGTGGAAACAGTAGGTGAGCCATTGGCAGGCTTTCACCAGGCAGCAGGGAGGTTCTCTGTTCTCCCACAGCATTGTCCAGATCAGGCAAAGAGGGTGCCTCACTTAGGGGGCTGGCTGGGGGCAAGTCAGCAGCCTCAGACAAGGCAGGCTCTTCCGGGGAGGCTGTGATGGTCAGGAACCGCCAAGGAGGGGAGGAGTCTGGGTCTTTGGGATCCCTTTCAAGTTCATCTGGGCGCTCCCTTGGCCAGCTGGGCTTGGCAGCATCCAGGGGGAGGCAGCTGCTTTTGCAGACATGGAGGTTGCTGGGGTAGTGGCGTTGGGCCAAGCGCAGGGCCCCCCCCCACATCCATGGGACCTTCACCTTGACCATGGCTGCCTCTTCCGACACCATGGCCTGGGCCGAGGGGCAATTCCAGGGCCCCTCCAGAAGATCCCAATGCTGGGGAGCCGTGTCCAGGGCTCAGTCTGCCCATATGGCCACAGGACTCTCGCCTGCCACCCCGCACCCTGCCCGACCTGTGGCAGCTTTGGCGCAGCCTGGTTTTCCTGCTGGTGGACAACGCTGAGCGGCCAGAGCAATGGCAGGGAAAGTGCGCAGCCAGGAAGTACGTTAACAAGCGATGTTGGAAGCGTGTGTGTGTTTCAGGTGGGTCTCCTAGCTTTAGAAGGAGAGAGGGAAGGAGGAAGGGAAGAGATAGAGAAAGGGGGGAAGAGAAAGAGAAAGAGGGAAAATGAGGGAGGAGAGAGAGAAAGGGAAAGTGAGAGAGGAAGAGAGAAGGAAAGAGGGAAAGAAAGGAGATAGAGGGAAAGAAAGGAAAAGAGAGAAAGAGGGAAAGAAGGAAGAAGCAAGAAAGAAAAGGGAAAGAAAAAGAAAAGAAAAAGCAAGAAAAGGGATAGACATAGAAAGGGGGATGGAAGAAAGGGACAGAAAGAAAGAAAGAAAGAAAGAAAGAAAGAAAGAAAAAGAAAGAAAGAAAAAGAAAAAGAAAGAAAGAAAGAAAGAAAGAAAGAAAGAAAGAAGAAAGAAAGAAAGAAAGAAAGAAAGAAAGAAAGAAAGAAAGAAAGAAAGAAAGAAAGAAAGAAAGAAAAAGAAAGAAAAAGAAAGAAAAAGAGAGGAGAAAGTGAATGAGTTATATGGATGGATGGATACATACATGGAAAGAGGGAGGGAGGGAGAGAGAAAAAAGAGAGGAAGGAAAGGACACAAACCCTGGCTTTAGAAGACTCTTTGAAATAGCACAGCAATCTAAGGCTTGCCTGGAAGGGATCTTGGAGGTCATCTTTTAGTCCAACCGCCTACTCCAGCAGGAGATCCTTACAGAATCATAGAATAGCAGAGTTAGAAGGGTGTGTACAACTCCAAAAACAGGTCAAGTAGCTCTGGGGATGTCAGTCATAAATTAGAACACTTGCTAAGCAACCAGTCATTAAGTGAGGGCCATTTGTATTTAGTTTGCCAGTCACATGGTCACGCCCACCCAATCACGTGACCACCAAACCTTGCCCTGCCAGTCACATGATCACCAAGCCACACCCACAAATTAATCCACGCCCACAGAACCAGTTGTTAAAAAAATTGAAATCCACCCCGAGCTGAAGTGCTTTTCAAGAGCAGCTCCATGTGGAATGCCCTGCAGTAGTCCAGATAGGAAAATACAAAGGCATGACTGATAGTAAGCAACTCCTCCTGGTAGAATAATATCCTCCCAGAAACCTATTTGGTTCCCATGTTGATAATATTTGATAAGTGTGTAAAAACCTTTGAAACTAAACATTTCTTTTGGGTTACTTTCCTGCTTTTTAGGATAAACTAAAAAGTTAGGAGTTAGGTGGCCTCTAGATCTCATATCTAAATACAGTATCAATAAATATATACCAAACTGAAAAAATAAAGCTGAAATTAAAAGTAGCACAGCATAAAATAATGTGAAACACAATTGTTGAAAATTAAATGAAATAGACTAAGTTTTAATTACATTTTTTCCAGCTGCACATTTCTAATTTAGGATACACATGACCAAACACTTTATAACTCATTTTATCCTTTTTTTTTTACAGTTTTGCCCACCACCACATTTTACAGATACACTGCTACTACAACTCATATAAATCCAAACCAGTATGATCTGTGGCATTCTTAGGGAATGCTGGTCTGTCCAGCAGTTGATTTTATCAAAAGATAATTACCCTTATCTTGTAAAGCTACCTGTTTACAAAAGAATTAATGTTTAATTTATTTTTTTACAAGCTATTAACAAGATTTGGCAGCTAGGTTTTGCTAAATGCTGTTTCTTTTTCATTGGTGTCTAGCTGAAGATGCATGTGGACCACCTCTTAGAAGAGAACGAGAACAACCTACAGGAGAATTGAATGAAGACACATATGTACATGGACACACAATATCATATAAATGCCGCCCCGGATATGTTAAAGCTTGGCCTATTAAACTTCAATGTAATGATGGAGTCTGGCGACGATTGCCACCTACTAAGAACTGCACAGGTAAGAAATAAAATAATGTTTTGCAAAAATCAGTGAAGAAGGATACTGAAATGTTTAAGAGATATTTTTTACCATTTCTGATTAGTATTTTTTATTATAAGCCATCAAATTGATGTTTGTTCTTAGTGATCATGTAGATAGATTTTTCTCCTGGACATTCTGTCCCCAACTTTTCTCAAGTTTTCAAAAGTAAAGTCATCATTGCTGTAACTGTGTCTATCCACTTAGCTGCCAGGGTTTGAAATGGACTCCTAACATTAGAACCACCATTTAAAAAAGGACAACAAAAAAAGGTTCTTTCTGTGTCAACTCAAAAACTTCAGACTGCCCCAGAAGTTGATACAGTAATACAGAGGAATTACTGAATCTATCATTTGTACTTCTATAACTGTCTGGTTTGGTACAACAACCAAACAGGGCAGATACGCACTCCAATGAAAAGTTGCAACTGCAGAAAAACAATTGCAACCAGCCTGCCTTTCATAGAATACCTATATACTGAGCAGATAAGAACGACGACTGAGAAAATCTCTACAAATCCCTCACATCTGGATATAAACTGTTTCAACTCCTCCCCTCAGGATATCACTATAAGGCATTGCATGCCAAAACAACTAGACACAGGGACATTTTTCCCTTCATGCCCTCACTCTGCTGAACACCTTATTCTCACGTGATTTTAAATGAGGAAAGTAGCATACCATAGGAGGGAAACCTGCTCCGGACCTGCCCATTCAGCTGAAGGGCTGCCTCGGGAGCAACATGGCAAGGCTTGGCCTTCTTTTGGGCCCGCCTTTCAGCTGCCGCCTGCTCACCCTCCCCTCCACCTCAGGTCCCACATCCAACCCATGATGGGGTAACTCAATGTTTCTGGATGGCAGGCAAGTGGGCGGGCGACCCTCAGGGGAGAGCACCACGCTGAGGCACTGTGTGGCCGGACCAGGAACTTTCTCTTGGTCCTCCCTCACAGAGCTGGGCCCAAAAGACGGCCAAGCCTCATCGTATCCCCCCGCAGCCATTTGGCTGAGCACAGTGGGTCCCCTCCCCTGCCTTACCTTCTCAGGCCAGGTGAAGAGTGGCTGCATGGGAGGCTACTGAGCGAGAAGTGGAAATGGGCGAAGGAAGGCTCACCAGGCAGAAATCAGCTGGTCAAGGGAAGTGAGGGAACCAGAGAGCAGCAGCAGCAGCAATGCCGTGGGCGTGATTCTAGGTGGGTGAGGTGAGAAAAGGAGTGAGTGGGAGAGGAGAGGCGAGGTGGGGTGGGGCCAGCCAGTGGTGCAATTAGCCGGTTCTCTGAACTGCGCAAAAATTTAACTGGTTTGCCTGAACCAGTCCAAACCGGAAACCCGCCTCTGGGACTGTCTTATATCTAAGTATATTTACCGATATTGTGTGGCTGTATTATTATTATTATTATCCTCATATTTTTTTAATATTCCCTCTTATTGGTAGTGTTATTATGATTATTATTATTACTCTGTTGCTTTGCACATGCATAGACCTTTTGCACCGGAGACAAGTTCCTTGTGTGTCCAATCACACTTGGCCAATAAAGAATACTCTACTCTATTCTATTCTTCCACTTTTCTCAATATTACAGACTTCATCCATTCAAAGTAGGATCCATCCAACCCTCTAGAGCAGGGAGGCAACGAATGTTGCAGGTCCCAACTCCTAAGGAGGTAAACCTGGTGGGACCCAGAAGAAGAGTTTTTTCAATGGTGGCTCCCTCCCTTTGGAGAAGAAATTAGACTGGCCCTCACTTTGATACTCTTTCCCTGAACACTTAGTTTTGCCAAGGGGCCTGGGAAAACCAGAGTGGGATGGACACATCAAAGGGCTAATTTGATTGTGTGTTGTCACTCGGGTGGGTGGGGCTGTTATTGTTTTTTTTTTCTAAGCTGTTTTTTATGGCTTGTAAGCCACCTAGAGTCACTGTGAGTGGGTAGGTGGCTATATACATTTTCTAAATAAATAAATACATTTTGTGTTTCCCTTTGCATTCTGTTTTTACTTGATATCGAGTGTCATGAATTACATTATTATAACTAGAGGTTGCCTTTCAGACTGAATTCCAGGAGGATTGTATAGCTGTTTCCATAAGAACTGTGAATTTGCCATGTAATGTCATATACTACATATCATTCAGAATATCAGAATATACACACCAATGAAGTGAAGCAGGAGTGCAGGAATTCAAGACCAGATTTAGTTCATAATGACAGTGAGATAGGAAAGGTGAAATAGGCAAGGGGAGATGCAAGCACTGGGCAGTCTGAGAGCTTCCCAAATGCTAAATTTTCTTGCTATATTTCATGGTGTTACATTTTATTTTATTTTTATTTTGCAGGAATATCTTGTGGTCACCCTGGAGATTCTGATTATGCCAGTTTTGAACTTACCCATGGAGATGACTTTACTTTTGGTGCCCGTGTTACCTATATGTGCAACGAAGGGTAATATCTTTATAATTATTTTTCACCTTTCTAATTATTCATTATATACAACCTGTGTATTAAGAAAAAAAAAAGCTCCGTCTCCCAAAATAATAGTGCATTTATATTGTATTCTAGTGTGGGAGTTTGTACAGAATCCTTCTCTCTTGCCTGCATGTAAATTTTGATATGTGGCTAGTCTACAAAAGAAAAAAGAAGCCAATAGAGATAATAGAAGAAAAACAGTCCATGTCATTCACACTGAGAGAGAGAGAGAGAGAGAGAGAGAGAGAGAGAGAGAGAGAGAGAGTTAGTTAGTTGTTGGCTTAGAAATGAAGACACTCTGAATTCTAGGTTTTCCTTTGGGGAACATAATAGGCAGGAGTATTAGATATGTTTTCTACTTTGTATATTTAAAAGGCAGAATAAACACACACACATGCACATACATATACATATGAATATGCATACATATACAAACACTTTAAGATTGGGGCAAGAAGAGAGTGTGGTAGACATAGATTTAAGAAACATCCAACATTAGCAGGTCCATCCATTCTATCTTTCAGCATTCAGTGGGATTCTAGATCTATTCAAATAGAGATTATGGACTTGTTCTTGTTAGGGATTAAAGCTGACATCTAAATAAATACTGTTTAAAAAGTAAACAATACGCTTGTACTTATATTCTCTAACTTGATTGGGGTATGATAGTGCTGTCCTCAACCCTGATAAACATGTCATCTAATTCCATACATTTCTTTATTTTATATATAAAATCCTTATTTATTCAGATGCATTTATTCTCAGGAAATATAATACTGAGTATTTGATCTTCAAGTGTCATGGATTTTTTTAGTTGTAGTCCTCCTGAAGTGTATTGGAACACTTCAGTCTTGGAATAATAAAAGTGGAAAAGGCTCAATGAAAAAATATCAGTTAAAACATTCATCTATATCAGTGGTCGTCAACCTTAGGACCTCAGAGACCACCAAACTCATAATTTTAAATCCCGGGGACCACTAATATGAATTTTGACTGATGGTGGCTTGCTGACATTGGTGGGAGAGAGAGAGAGAGAGAGAGAGATCTGATCTAACCTCTCTCTCTCTCTCTCTCTCTCTCTCTCTCTCTCTCACACACACACACACACACACACACACACACACACACACAGAGGCCGGGGTGGGATTCAAATTTCTTAACCGATTCTGTGGGTGTGGCCTAATTTGTGGGTGTGGCTTGGTGGTCATGTGACTGTCTGGGCATGGCTTGTATGTAAATATTATAAATATTTATATAAATATTGACTTTTTTATATAAAAAGAGCAACTTTACCCAAAACCAGGCAAAGTAGGCAGGCAGATTGAGTTGCTCACACAATCACAGATTCGTTCAGAGATCTGTGAGATCGGCTACCTGAGCCTGTCACATAAAATTTGCTTGCAATCAAACCCATAAAATTTGCTAGCAAGCAAACTGACAAAATTAACTCACAACACACACCACGTATGTAAACATTGAAGTTTTTATTTAAAAAAGAGCAACTTTTACCCAAACTTTTACCCAAAGACAAAGCAGGCAGGCAGATTGAGTTGCTCACAGAATCACAGATTCATTCAAGAGATCTGTGTTTCTGCCATTGCCTACCTGAGTCTGCACTGCTTCAGTCCTAAGGAAGGTTGGCTCTGCTTAAAAGAAGAGCTGAAGATCTAAAGATTAACTAGAAAGAAAGGAATCCAACGATTTCCTGCTTTCTAGCTAATCTAAATCTCCCAGCACAGCAGAACCACTGATGGTCAGAAAAAGGAAAAATAGCAACTTAGCAGGCAGGTAAGGAGTGAGTGGGCGGGCAGGACGGGCAATGTGGGCGGTGCAGCCTTGTGTTCCTATGCAGCCTGGATTAATTGCTATGGGAGGTGCTCTGGAGGTGACATTTCTCTGCGGACCACCAAAATTTTCTCGGGAACCAACAGTGGGCCGTGACCCACCAGTTGGCGACCATTGATCTATATAGTTGCCTAGACCTCACTTAAATAACTACAATGAAGAAGAGTGCACCATTTCCCTGAATAATTAGTTTCACTGTCAAACCAATTTGATGAAGTGCTTTTTTTCCTCTTAAGATTCAGTTGCAATCTTTTCCATATTGTACCTTAAAAGCATTATTCTGTATTCCATTGATTGTTTCTGATGTATAGCAGTGTTATCCTTTTTCATAACCATGTTTTGCTATAGTGGATTGAGTGATCAGGCCAGAGGTGGTATTCAACAAGTTCTGACCAGTTCTGGAGAACTGGTAGAGGAAATTTTGAGTAGTTCAGAGAACCAGCAAATACTACCTCTGACTGGAGATTTTACAGTATCCTTCCCATGACACATCCATCAAGCCACATCCAGAACCGGTAAATTTTTTAATCCCACCACTGGATCAGGCACTTTTTCATAAAGTTGTGCAGATATCAATTTTATTAAAAGATGGATAGATTGTCTGCTTTCTTTTTCTCGTGTTCTACATTGCTGCAGAATATCTGTGCTCATCTGAATAATGTTTCTCTTATGGAATATTGGGTTACTATTTTAATAGTGGAGCACTTGATTAGTGTTGGTGGTTTTTAATAGACTTGTGTTTCTAATTTGCTGCCATTTCTTTTGCTAATGAGAATATCAAGGAAGTGAAGTGTGTTTCTTCCACTGTGAATTTACTTCCTTTGAAGATGTTGATTATTTCATGTGTCTTCACTAGTTGTCCCTTTTATGTTATGAGGAAAGTGTCATCTGCATATCAGATCCTTATTTTTGATTGTATGTGTGGAAGCTATAATTTCTAGACACTGCATTACAGTCTCTGCTATGAGACTAAAGAATGAAGATCCCATGGCTGTACCTCTGATTTGTTGGTATATTTGTCCATCAAAATGAAATAAGGTACTGGCAGAAATGGATGAGGTTCATGATTCTGGGTATTTCATTCTTAGTGTATTTAGTTAGCTGAAGCGTGTTGTGAAGTATTGCTGTCATGGATTATTTCTATGGGTCTGAAAAGAGTGTATAAAGAGTGTTGTGACATCTAATGAAACCACAATCTCATCTTCTCTTATTATGTCTTTGATTTTTCTGACAGCATGATAGTTAATAGAATATTTGCTTCTGTCTCAGATGTCCAAGCTTTTTTAAGGTCTTTGGCTATGTTGTTGGGATCCCTGATAATAAGACCGATAGATGAAGAGCTAGGTCATGTTTATGTGTTTTGGGGCATCCATAGAAGTTTGGCTTGGTAGAACTTAGAAAACAGAGAGTTAAAAACAGCAAGGGCTGAAAAATACAGTGTTACATGATGGAGGCTGTGTATTTTATTGTCAAAAATCCAATGCAGAAAATAATAAAATAAATAATTGTCCTGAGGGAGCAGCAGCTTGAATTGAGGACATCTGATGGATTATAAATCTTTAAGGAAATTTACACTCTTTGCCACAAGCTAACTATGATCATATCAGATTGACATTATCCTGCCAAATTGCAACTTTATTTTCACTGTATTTTATATCAAAGTTTTACTGCTTTCTATTAATATCTTGACTTTCTTTTATACCACATTTTTAATACCACGTTTTTAAAATAATGTTGGGATTTCTGCATTTGAAATTTATAACTCAAAGCAGCTCAATTTGCTTATTTTTCTTTATTGACTGTTTAATTATCTTTTTAGTAAAACATTTATAGATATAAGCTGTATTTGTACAATGAAATACTTGAAAGAAATTCTGCATTTTTTTTTAACTTTGAATTTGTGGGAGAAACCCAAATATTATAGCCATATAAGTGAAAATAGACAACAGTATTATTGTTGTCTATTTTTTTTTTTTTTTGCTTTCTTCTCCCATATTTTAGTGATATAAACATCTGACTGTGCTGGTTTGTTGGTGACTGAAGGTAGAATTACCCCACTTGTTTCATCTGAACTTATTTTATTACATATTGGATTTCTCTGGAATATAATATGTATTTTGTAAGAGATATCAGTTTGCGGTGTTGCTACACAATGTTATTATGCTATTAAATTTTATCCCTTATCTACACCATCATTAAATATTTGGACCACATGGGGGCACTCCTATACAAGGGATAATTAATTGACAATTTCATTTTTTTCACTGTAGTACATACATATATGTTTGTATTTGTCTGAGAAATCCAAACAAGACTTTTAGTCTGATTAAAACAGACTGCAATTTTAATACATTTTAGATTTATATAAGGTACGCATTAACTTGTATTTTATAAAATATTGTAATATCAATAACATATATCTTTTAGCTGCTGGTTTTCATTTAATATACCTCTTACTATAAGAGGGAGCTCTAATATAGAGAATGATTCCTGAGATTTTCATTACAAATCTTCAAAATATTTTATTACCAGGTACTAAATACCAAAATCTGTAACATTTTGTTCTGAATGCTTCTTGAAACATGGAACTTTGGCTCATGGGATACAATGTTTCCTTTATATGACCCTGTAGTCCCTATTTAGGGTAGAGTCTGGGCAACTGGATGAAGCTGTTTACTAGCCAAATTCCCTTCCTGATGTCTACCCAGAATTCGTAGCGGTTATTTTTTCTTTGCACCCTAGGAGAGAAACATCTGTCTCTACCTAGGATTGAAAAAATAACCTACTGAGTGGGAGGTGAGCATATATATCACCACCGTGCTGCTCAATTCAGGGATACAATCATGGGATTGTATTCTTGCTATATTTAATATATATAATGTTCCTTTTATATTATTTGTGCTGTGTGAGTTTGTCTGTCTTTCTCTCTCTCTCCATTTTTTTAAATAAAAAAACTTGAATATCATACTCTGTTTTGGAAATACAATATTGTATATCCAGAAGTGGTTCTGAATTTGATGATAGTTTCAAAAGTTTTGGAAGGGAAAATAAATTTAAAAGTTGGGGAGAATGAGTTTCTCATCTTTTTTCTGACTCTGAGAATAAATACTAAACTTGTTTCTACATTTCCAAAAATGATCAGTAATAATTAAAATAATGCATCTTCTAAATAGGTTCTAAATTATTATAAAATATGTTTTGATATATAATCTTATTGCAGTATTTGTGTGTTTAGTTAACTTTTTTTAATTATTAGGTATAAGATGCTCAGCCAATATAATCACCGTGATTGTCGAGCAAATGGATGGACCAATGAGGTTCCTCATTGTGAAAGTAAGTAGGCTCTCAAAACATTATTAGGGATCAGAGTAGTAAAAATTGACTTCAATCCCCGCATACTGCCATGGTTATCAAACAATATCATTTCTGGCTTTAGTTGTGAGTTTCAAAACCATTCAATTTCTCTTATTGATTCCCACTGAAATAAACTCTTCACCTAAATTTTTGTAAATCAAATCTTTTTAATAATTTCTACTACTATCTGTTTCTTCTAAACAAGTTATATGTTGTTCTTTTTTTTTCAAATAATGAAATAAATTTGTTTTTTGAGACGGGAGAGTTTGCCTTAGTATATTTCACATTAGGCATTTAAAGTCTATATGCCAAAACTTATAAAAAGTCAATACTTGTAGTACTTAATGTGGTGCCTCTTCCTTAGTTTGTTGTCGTGTCTGTTGTATAGTTTCTTCTGTCATCTCCATTTGCCTGTTGTCTATGTCTTCTTTAAATATTTATAGAAAATTTCATAATGTTAAAACTGAGTTAGTCAAAACCTCTTGTAGAAGACCGGGCTGAGCCCAAGGGGTAAAATGCATCATAAGTTGTGAGTCCTTGCACGCCCATAAAAGATCTAAGTCCGACCCACCTTGAATGCCACTCTTATCTCCCACACATTTTTCTTAACAGTCAGTTGGCCAGATTCTTGTAGAGAGCTTAAGCTTGCAATAAATCTTCATACCCATTTGAGCTGCCTCAACACTTGACACCTCTACTATTCAAAATTAAAAATATCTCCTTCCAATTTGTCTCAACAAAATGATATCTTTTTATGTTTGAGCTTTTCAGTCAAAAATATTTTCCCCTTAAGTAGTATTATGGTTATAACTTCATTAGGTACAATTATAATACATCTGTGTTGTTGATCTTCAACCTAATATTAAAATGTTTCTGGGGAGCTTAATCTTTTGTCTTTCTCCTGACAAAGTACGCAAGAATATCCCCTGATGCATGTCTTAATTTTGCATAATGTGTACTGATCCTGTATACATTATCTAACTTTGCCTACATCTCATCTCCATCCCATTACAGAAACTTTGTCGAGATTGAACAACCTATTCTTGATCTTCACTGGGGTCTTTTGAAACCGCTCTGAATCTCAGGCATGATTCTTTTCCTTCTTTAATTCCAATAGTGCCAATATTGTGTAAATATTTTTTCCATCTTTCTGTTTATTATTTCTGCTTTATTTTCTTTCTTTCTTTATTATTTGATTCACCTTTCTATGTCCTAGAGATTCTCCAAGTTTTTTTATGTCTTTTTTCACTTTCTCCTTCATATTTACAAATCTTTCTTCCAATCTTCCTCCAAATAAAGTCTCTTTTAACAGTTTCAGATACATTCTTCCCCAACTCTTCAAATATTATTACCGTATATACTCGAGTATAAGTCGACCCGAATATAAGCCGAGGCACCTAATTTTACACAAAAAAACTGGGAAAACTTATTGACTCGAGTATAAGCCGAGGGTGGGAAATGCAGCAGCTACTGGTAAATTTCAAAAATAAAAATAATTAATTTGGGAAACGATCTCACTATCATGAAAGGTTTAATTGATTCACTAACCCAAAAGAAGATGATGATGATGACAGCGGGAGGCAGGAGTCACTCTCTTCCCCTCCCTCGGAGGCCCCCTGAGTCAGGAGTCGCTACCGCCGGCGCGGCCCCAGTCCCGCGTCGCCTCGGGAAGGGAAAGGCAAAAAGGAAGAGCCGCGGCAGCACTTTGCAACAGCAGCAGCGGCACCGGAGGCTCACGCTCAGCGGCTCCTGGTTTTGCCCCACCCTTCCCAAGGCAACGCGGGACCGGAGCCGCACTGGCGGCAGCAACTCCCGACAGCCCCAGCCAGACACCTGAGCGGAGATGTAGGGAGAAGGCAAAAGCGACGGAAGATCCTTCAGGGGAAACTGAGGGGGAGACTCACCTTTGGTCCAGATGAGCCCTCTTCCCCGCCCCTAAGGAAGCAGAGGCAGCCAGCAAGGGCAGGCAAGCCCCGCTTCACAGACTCTGTCCGTCCTCACTCCCACCCACCCACCCACCCAAAGCCACGAAGTCCCCCAATCGCGCAGCCCAGAATCGCCCTCCCCTCAGG